CACCATAGCCAACAGTGCCAACACCGTCATGCCAATAGTGCCAACACCATCATGCCAACAGTGCCAACACCATCATGCCACCAGTGCCAACACCATCATGCCACCAGTGCCAACACCATCATGCCAACAGTGCCAACACCATCATGCCGCCTGTACCAACACCATCATGGTAATGTGAGTGTGGGTAGAGACATGTCTGAATGGACGATTGAAACAAGAAAATATATTATGTCTTAGAGGAAAAAAGTCATTGGTTGTTCTGAGGTAGTGTGTGTCACTGACCAGCCGTGGGGTGTGTGTCACTGACCAGCCGGGTGTGTGTGTGTCATGACCAGCCGTGGGTGTGTGTGTACAATGACCAGCCGTGGGTGTGTGTGTGTCAATGACCAGCCGTGGGTGGGTCAATGACCAGCCGTGGGTGTGTGTGTGTCAATGACCAGCCGTGGGTGTGTGTCACTGACCAGCCGTGGGGTGTGTGTGTCACTGACCAGCCGTGGGTGTGTGTCACTGACCAGCCGTGGGGTGTGTGTGTCACTGACCAGCCGGGTGTGTCACTGACCAGCCGTGGGTGTGTGTCACTGACCAGCCGTGGTGTCGACCAGCCGTGGGTGTGTGTGTGTCAATGACCAGCCGTGGTGTGTGTGTGTCAATGACCAGCCGTGGGTGTGTGTGTGTCAATGACCAGCCGGGTGGTGTGTGTCAATGACCAGCTGTGGGTGTGTGTCACTGACCAGCTGGTGTGTGTGGCACTGACCAGCCGGTGTGTGTCACGACCAGCGTGTGTGTGTGTCACTGACCAGCCGTGGGTGTGTGTCACTGACCAGCCGTGGGTGTGTGTCACTGACCAGCCGGGTGTGTGTGTGTCAATGACCAGCTGTGTGTCACTGACCAGCCGTGGGTGTGTGTCAATGACCAGCCGTGTGTGTGTGTCACTGACCAGCCTGTGGTCAATGACCAGCCGTGGGTGTGTGTGTCACTGACCAGCCGGGTGTGTGTGTGTCACTGACCAGCCGGGTGTGTGTGTCACTGACCAGCCGGGTGTGTGTGTGTCACTGACCAGCCGTGGGTGTGTGTGTGTCACTGACCAGCCGTGGGTGTGTGTGCTCGACCAGCCGTGTGTGTGTGTCACTGACCAGCCGTGGGTGTGTGTGTCACTGACCAGCCGTGGGTGTGTGTGTCACTGACCAGCCGTGGGTGTGTGTGTGTCACTGACCAGCCGTGGGGTGTGTCACGACCAGCCGTGGGTGTGTGTGTGTCAATGACCCGTGGGTGTGTGTGTGTCACTGACCAGCCGTGGGTGTGTGTGTCACTGACCAGCCGTGGGTGTGTGTGTCACTGACCGGGGTGTGTGTGTGTCACTGACCAGCCGTGGGTGTGTGTGTCACTGACCAGCCGTGGTGTGTGTGTGTCACTGACCAGCCGTGGGTGTGTGTGTCACTGACCAGCCGTGGGTGTGTGTGTGTCACTGACCAGCCGTGGGTGTGTGTGTCACGACCAGCCGTGGGTGTGTGTGTGTCACTGACCAGCCGTGGGTGTGTCCACGACCAGCCGTGGGTGTGTGTGTCACTGACCAGCCGTGGGGTGTGTGTGTCACTGACCAGCCGTGGGTGTGTGTCACCTGACCAGCCGTGGGTGTGTGTGTGTCACTGACCAGCCGGGTGTGTGTGTCAATGACCAGCCGTGGGTGTGTGTCACTGACCAGGGTGTGTGTGTGTCAATGACGTGTCAATGACCAGCCGTGGTGTGTCACTGACCAGCCGTGTGTGTGTGTGTGTGTCACTGACCAGCCGTGGGTGTGTGTGTGTCAATGATCAGCCGTGGGTGTGTACTGACCAGCCGTGGTGTGTGTGTGTGTCAATGATCAGCCGTGGTGTGTGGTCAATGACCAGCCGTGGTGTGTGTCACCGACCAGCCGGGTGTGTGTGTGTACACGACCAGCTGTGGGTTCAATGACCAGCCGTGGGTGTGTGTCAATGACCAGCCGTGGTGTGTGTGTCACGACCAGCCGTGGGTGTGTGTCACTGACCAGCCGGTGTGTGTGTCAATGACTGGGTGTGTGTCACTGACCAGCCGTGTGGTGTGTCAATGACCAGCCGTGGGTGTGTGTGTGTCAATGATCAGCCGTGGGTGTGTGTCACTGACCAGCCGTGGGTGTGTCACTGACCAGCCGTGGGTGTGTGTGTGTCAATGATCAGCCGTGGGTGTGTGTCACTGGGTGTGTGTGTCACGACCAGCCGTAGGTGTGTGTGTGTCAATGACCAGCCGGGTGTGTGTGTCAATGATCAGCCGGGGTGTGTCACTGACCAGCCGTGGGGTGTGTGTGTGTCAATGACCAGCCGTGGGTGTGTGTCACTGACCAGCCGTGTGTGTGTGTGTGTGTCACTGACCAGCCGTGGGTGTGTGTGTCACTGACCAGCCGTGGGTGTGTGTGTCAATGACCAGCCGTGGGTGTGTGTGTGGTCACTGACCAGCCGTGGGTGTGTGTCACTGACCAGCCGTGGTGTGTGTGTGTGTGTCACTGACCAGCCGTGTGTGTGTGTGTCACTGACCAGCCGTGGGTGTGTGTGTCACTGACCAGCGTGGTGTGTGTGTGTCACTGACCAGCCGTGGTGTGTGTGTCAATGACCAGCCGGGTGTGTGTGTGCCCAGCCGTGGGTGTGTGTGTCACTGACCAGCTGGGTGTGTGTGTGTCAATGACCAGCCGTGGTGTGTGTCACTGACCAGCCGGGTGTGGTGTGTGTCAATGACCAGCCGTGGGGTGTGTGTCACTGACCAGCCGTGGGTGTGTGTGTCACTGACCAGCCGGGTGTGTGGTCACTGACCAGCCGGGTGTGTGTGTGTGTCAATGACCAGCCGTGGGTGTGTGTGTGTCACGACCAGCCGTGGGTGTGTGTGTCAATGACCAGCCGTGGGTGTGTGTGTGTCACTGACCAGCCGGGTGTGTGTGTCAATGACCAGCCGTGGGTGGGTCACTGACCAGCCGTGGTGTGTGTGTGTCACTGACCAGCCGGGGTGTGTGTCAATGACCAGCCGTGGGGTGTGTGTGTCAATGACCAGCCGGGGTGTGTGTGTCACTGACCAGCCGGGTGTGTGTGTGTGTCACTGACCAGCCGTGGTGTATGTGTCACAGATCAGCCGTGGGGTGTGTGTGTGTGTGTAAATGACCAGCCGTGGGTGTGGCCTGACCAGCCGTGGGTGTTGTGTGTGTGTCACTGACCAGCCGTGGGTGTGTGTCACTGACCAGCCGTGGGTGTGTGTCACTGACCAGCCGGGTGTGTGTGTCACTGACCAGCCGGGGTGTGTGCGTCACCTGACCAGCCGTGGGGTGTGTGTGTGTGTCACTGGCCAGGCTGCAGGTGTGTCACCTGACCAGCCGTAGGTGTGTGTCACTGACCAGCCGTGGGTGTGTCACTGACCAGCCGTGGGTGCGTGTCACTGACCAGCCGTGGGTGTGTCACTGACCAGCCGTGGGTGTGTGTCACCTGACCCCGTGGTGTCACTGACCAGCCGTGGTGGGTGTGTGTCACTGACCAGCCGTGGGTGCGTCACTGACCAGCCGTGGGTGTGTGTCACTGACCAGCGGGTGCGTGTGTCACTGACCAGCCGTGGGTGTGTGTGTCACTGACCAGCCGGGGTGTGTCACCCAGCCGTGGGGTGTGTCACTGACAGCCGTAGGTGTGTCACTGACCAGCCGTGGGTGTGTCACTGACCAGCCGGTGTGTGTCACTGACCAGCCTGGGTGGGTTGTGTCACTGACCAGCCGGGTGTGTGCGTCACTGACCGCCGTGGGTGGTCAGTGACCAGCCGGTGTGTGTGTGTGTCACTGACCAGCCGTGGTGTATGTGTCACTGACCAGCCGTGGGTGTGTGTCACTGACCAGCAGTGGGTGTGTCACTGACCAGCCGTGGGTGTGTGTCACTGACCAGCCGTGGGTGTGTGTCACTGACCAGCCGTGGGTGTGTGTCACTGACCAGCCGGGTGTGCACTGACCAGCAGTGGGTGCAACATCTTATTATTTATGTTTTATTTGTATGTACTTGGAGTCAATTGTTTCATTAAAAAGTGAAAAGTGCAAGGTGCTTCATTATACTATAATTATATATATATATATATATATATATATATATATATATATATATATATATATATATATATATATATATATATATATATATATATATATATATATATATATATATATATATATATATATAGTGCTCACATGCGTATCTATAAAAATAGCTTCTTTACTCGATGATGGTGACGTCACTCTGGCTAAGTTAAACAAAAAGTGTTAAAATATCATTAGTATTGGTGGGTCCAGGTCTACCGTTTTCTATAGCGAGCGACTCCCAGCCCGGCTGATGAGGAGCTCAGCTAAACTAGCTTAATTGGGGGAGGGGGGAAGCATGTCTAAAATTTCTCTAGTAGACATGCGTGTCCACTACATACGTGTCCAAACTCTCTGCTTAGTCGATGTCTTACTGACAGAGATGTCCAGACACGTCTACGAGTCAGCATGTCTAAAAATGCCTTTCAGGGACTTAGTTGTTTGTGGTGGTATGTCCCAAGACGCGTGTTCAAGTTGGTTTGTCACAGGACACGTGGACTTTAGGTTATGACTATATTATTATATACACTGGAGAGTCTTATTAGGACACCTGTGGGTAGGAGGAGAGACAGGTGCGAGAGGGAAGGGGGGTGAGGAGGAGGGAAGGTGGGGGGTACAGGTGTGAGGAAGAGGGGTAGGGACAGAGCATAAGGGTGATGAGAGGCGTGAGGAGGCAGTGCTTAAGGAAGAGGAGGATAAAGGAGGGGTAAGGGTGAAGGACATAAGGAGAAAAGGGGAAGGATAAGGTGAAGGAGGGAGAGCGGCAAGAGGGGAGGGGTAAGAGGGAGAAGGGCAGGAGGGAGGCAGGATGGGAAGGGAGGAGCGGGGAAAGGAAGTAGGGAAGAGTGGCATGAGGGGAGGGGGGTGCCCGTCCATGGCTAGGCCTCACCTCAAGGTAGCCTGGGCGTACCACTCGGGCTCCTTTCTTGAGCGCCGTGACCACCTCGCCTCGCACCTCCTTAGGAAAGGACACACCTTCCAGTACGACCTGCTGTCTCCCAGCACTGCCAGACACCTGCGGCACATCAGGCAAAGGTTAAACAGATAGTGTGTGCCAGACGCTCATAACATACAATTTATATATATATATATATATATATATATATATATATATATATATATATATATATATATATATATATATATATATATATATATATATATATATATATATATATATATATATATATATATATATATATATATATATATATATATATATATATACAGCTCCAGGACGAGCAATCATCATCGCCAGGCATCTGTAAGAGACCCAGACGAAGGTTAAGATATATTCAATGTACGTCAGACGCTCATATGTACTGGGCCAGCACGAATAATCAGCATCGCCAGGCACCTGTGGGAGACCACACGAAGGTGAAGAGACAGATATTCAGCGTACGCCAGGCAGGTTAATATATAGCCAGAGGGGTTAATGTTACCAGGTATTAATATAGCCGGTAAGTTAATATACCCAGGCGGGCTCTAAACTAAAACACAAACAAGAGTTAATCATTAAACTTTACTTCATCCTCCTGAACAAACACATATAGGTTTTTTTATTTTCGTCAATAGAGTGAAATATAATTCTTGAAGTTAATAAAACATTCACAAGGACCTACTGAATCATACATCTCACACAAATGTCTTTTACCTCCCTGAGGACGACGACCCTGTGCTCAAAACGTTAGGTTATCGTATGAGGAAGTTATCATACTCAAAGGGTTTAGTTATCTTACTGAGAAAATAAGTTATCATATTCAGAGGGTTGAGTCATTGCATTCAAGGTGTTAGGAAGAGGGCGTGTAGGGGGGCGTGTAGAGGCGTGGGTGGCTATCTTACTTAAGAAGAGCTTCGAGGCGGATGGCGTGCGTCTTGGAGGGTGTGGGGAAGACCTCTCTGTGGCGCCTCACCTCCGCCAGGCTGTGATCCAGGAACCCAGTGTAGGATTCTCCCAGCATCTCTTCCTGTAGGGTCAAAACACAGGTCACTATGGGTTGAGAGAGAGAGAGAGAGAGAGAGAGAGAGAGAGAGAGAGAGAGAGAGAGAGAGAGAGAGAGAGAGAGAGAGAGAGAGAGAGAAATGTGGGAAAAGTGATATGACTGATTTAGTAGAGACAGAAATAACTAGACAAAAGAAAGGAGATACAAAAATTAAAACAAAACGAGATTATAGGTAAAGAAAAGGGCATAACAGGGTTTAAAGAAGGACAACAGCAATACATAAAAGAAAGAAAACCAGAAAAAAAATACGAGAACAAGATAAGACAAAAAACAGGACAAACAAAGCATAAAATAGCTAAAAACAAGGCACAGAAGGCATGGAATAAAGAAGAACAAGAGACAAATGGTAAAAAGAAGAAGAGTGATAAGAGAGGGTAAGAATAAACATCACCAGACAATAATTGAAAATAATGTTTGGTGACGTCATCAGGGGAGCATAACTCCTAGTAATCAAGGCAGAAAAAACACTAATTGCCAACCTTTATTTACGTAACTCCAACATGAAGCAATATAGAGCAGAACAAACCACTAGATAATAAAATATAACAAATTACGATAACATAAATTGAAATAAAAATAGAAAACAATAAAATAAATCGAAGAAAACAAATTTAGTTATGTTCAATAAAACTCCTACAATAAATTATAAATAATACAACACATACAATATACAACAATACGATTAAATATACTATAATTCAATACAACATTATTCAATAGATTACAATACACTAAAATAGAATTCAATGAAACAATAGCAGAATACAAATAATACAGTATAAGAAAATACCTTATCCTGCCTTATACCCCCTTTAATTTAACATCAAATCCGTTATTCTTCCTTAAAATCCCCATAAGGTAGATACAAAATAACTTTTCTTACCTCAACACCGTACTTAAGTTTATAATCCAACACCCTTCTTTAAAATAACCAGCATAGTGCATTTAGATTCTGATTTGACCACCAAAATCTCGTGTAAAGTGTACCGAGCCTTCTAATTGGTCTTCATGTTGACCAATGATTTCTTATGTTTAATCGGTGATAGGAGAACTCACCTCTTAACTGGTGATACGATAACTTGCCTCTTAACTGGTGATAGGAGAACTCTCCTCTTAACTGGTGATACGATAACTTGCCTCTTAACTGGTGATAGGAGAACCCACCTCTTAACTGGTGATACGAGAACTCTCCTCTTAACTGGTGATAGGAGAACCCACCTCTTAACTGGTGATACGAGAACTCTCCTCTTAACTGGTAATAGGAGAACTTATCTAACTGGTTCCATTAAACTGCAACACACACACACACACACACACACACACACATATATTCATACCCATAATGGTATCGAAAGTCTACTGAGACTAGGGCCAATTGCAAGAACGGTTATGAGTGTACGACGTCATTTACGATGACCTTCTTGCCCTGGACTTTTTTCAGCTATATCGCCTTTAACACATGGAATTCTGCACTTTTCGAAGCTTTGGAGGAGTCTCGAAACAAGTTTCCTGGTGGGAATTATTAGCTAGTGCTGTACTCAAAATATCGGAACTTCAAGATCTCTCCAGAGCTTCAAAAGGGTGGTATAACTGAAACAAGATCAGGGCAAGAAGGTCATCGTAAATGGCATCGTACACCCCACGACTGTTCTTGCAATTGGCCCTATACCGTAACTGTAGACGCACCGTAACCAACACACACGGCGAAAGAAAAACAACAGGAACCTTTAAGGGTGTCGCCCCTCAGTCTAGGAGGCCTCTACCCGCAGGCGGTGGTCGGGCCGGATAGTTCAACATGGTTTGTAAAGTTTATGAGACAATATCTTAAAAAAATACACACAAACAAAAAAATAGTGAAAATCTCTGTATATTAAACCTTATCTTCCACCAGGTCTCGATAATATGTATGACCGAATGTTGGCTGTAAGTTACATGAAGAAGAACACGATAACAACATTAGGTGTCATATGAAGAGATGTACCTCTAAATAATTTCACCTTAAGATTAAACACCGTAACCTAACCTAACCTATCCCTATCCAAACCTAACGCTATCCAATCCTAACCTGACCTAACGCTATCCAAATCTAACCTAACACCATCCTAACCTAACCTTACCTACCCCCGTCCCCTTTCCCAGGTTAGTATCAAGGTGGTTACAAGATCAAATAAGCTGGGGGCGAATCCTCAGGTGACCCAAAACATCCATTAGTGAGGACAGGGAAGGTGGAGCTTGAGGCTGACTCCAGATAACCAAGACCATAGTCAAGAGAGTCTTCCCTCTGGTGGGTGAGGCGAGGTAGTGCAGGACGTCTCAAGTTTAATTGTGGCATTGTTAATACTGATGAAACTTGTGCTGGGGTGAAGATAGCCCCCCACCCCACCCCACCCCCCACACACACACACACCACTCGCTTCTCGTTTTTTGTGTGTTTACGTTTTATTTCTATCTAGTACTCTCCTTTTTTTCTTCAGTTTGTTGAGTGTTTTTGGTGATATTTTACATTTATTCCATATCTTATTGTGTTTTTTTTTGTGTGTGAATTTTTCCTGTGTTTTTTCTTTTAGTTATTCTCTATTTTCTATGTTATAATGACAGCCATTTTCCTCTATTCCTTGTTCTCTTTTGGGGGAAAATTTACGTTTTTCACGATATTTTGCCTTAGATTCTTTAGGTTCTGTATACATGATGCTGAAGCAAACTCTTTGTATACACACACACACACACACACACACACACACACACCCTACACCCTACACACACCTTACACATATCTCTACTCTACACCCTACACATACCTCTACTCTACTACCCTCACCCTACACCCACAAATTTCCACTCTGAATACACCCTATGCGGCTACACCCAATTACAAGTTAATACTATTTAATTGATGGTGAACCAATCAGTGGCTCTTGTTAGCTTACCATACTTCACTCTTCACGCCTGCTGTATAGATCGTCTGTTTGTCTGTCTGTCTGTCTGTGTTTTTTCTGTCTGTCTGTCTGTTTTATGTCTCTCTGTCTCTGTTTTGTATGTCTGTCTGTCTGTCTGTCTGAGTTTCCCTCTTTCTCTCTCTCTAGTATGACTCTTACTTATTGTTTTCTCTTTCTCTTTCATTATCTCTATATTCTCTCTTGCTTTCTTTCCTTTTCTCTCTTTTATCTTGCTATCTCTCTCTTTCCACCTGTCTATTTGTCTTTTTGTTTGTATTTTCTTTCTCTTTCTTTTTGTTTCTTTCTCACTTTCTTTTTTCCTTACCTGCTCTCCCTCTCTCTCTCTTTGTCTCATTCTGATTGCTTTTGTCTTTCATTTTCCATCTTTCTCTCCTCCCTTTCTCTCTTCTAATTTTCTCTTTTCCTCTTTCCTTTTATTCCATCTAATTATCTCTCTAACTCTCACCGTTTTCTCTTTTATTCTCCTCTTATTACGACACACACACACACACACACACACACATAGTTTAGTACACAGTGGCCAGCTGAACGGGGAAGACTGAGCGAGGATATATCATTATTGTGGTAACTCTAGCTGGCTTGTGGTGGGTTACGGTGGGTGGCGTTGGGTTATGGTGGGTGATGGTGGGATATGGTGGATGGTGGTAGGTTATGGTGGGTGGTGGTGGGTTATGGTGGGTGGTGGTGGGTTATGGTTGGTGATGGTGGGTTATGGTGTGTTATGGTGGGTGGTGGTGGGTTATGGTGGGTGGTGGTGGGCTATGCTTGGTGGTGGTGGGTTATGGTGGGTAGTGGTGGGTGATGGTGGGCTATGGTGGATAATATTACGTACATAATTATTAATAAAAAATACACTACATTAATTTTAGGCTCGTAGCTCTCAGTCAAATAAAAATAATAAAATAAAAATCATGTTACGGTAATTCAGTTTTGCCAGCGAACATTAATTAATAAATTTAGACTTACTGACCAAAGTATTTAAACGTGATCATTAATTATTTATGAGCGGAATGATGAAAAAAAAAAGATATTGTTTGATGATTTATTAAAAACAACAACAATTGGTATTGAAATATCCGAGTTAAATTACGTTTGTATAAACAAAAAAAATCAGTAGTTTTTATGGACTGTATATATGTATTTTTTTGGGGAATTGAACATGTAAGACGTGTATAATTTTCGTGTGATCATTTTTAGAGGAGAGGAAATGAGGGGGTGGTGAGGAACGAAGGTCAAGGGATTAAAGGGAAGGTGTGGGAGAGGTAGGAGGTGAGGTGAGGGAATATAAGGGAGGAGGGTAGAGGTGAGGAGGCCGGGAAAGGTTGGGAGGAGGCAAAAGTGGGAGTGGAACAAATAAGGGGGCAGGGAAGGTAAGGGGAAAAAGGTGGAAGGCAAGAATGATTGAAGGTAAGGGGAGAGGAAGGAATGGAGGGTGGTAAGGAGGGAGGTAAAACGGAGTGAAGGTAGGAAAAAGGAAGGTGGGAGGAGGAGGTTAAGAGGAGGGAGGTAGGGGGGAGGGATTAGGGGAGGGAGGAGAGGTAAGGGGAGGAGGTAAGGGGGGGAGAGGGGCAGAAATTAGGTTAGGAAAGCAACTCATCAAACTGTCTTAATTTTTTTTTCAGAGACGCTCAAGTTTCTATTTCACCTCCTCTTTTCTCCCCTCTCCCAATTTCTCCTCTCCCCTCTTTCTCCCCTTCTTCTCTCCCTCCTCGTCTCCCCCTACCTCTCATATTTCCTCCCAATTTTCTCCTCTCCTCTCTTATCCCCTTTTCTTCTCTCCCCTGTGTTATGCCTCACTTTCTCACTGTCTCTGTTCCTCTCATTCTTTCCCTTCCTCAGATTCTCTCTCTCTCTCTCTCTCTTAATCGGAATCTCTCTCTCTTTCTCTCTCTCTCTCTCTGTTTCTCCCTCTCTATATCTCTCAATTCTTTCTCTTCTTCTCTCTCTCAACCTCTGTCTTTCTCCCTCTTTCTTTCTCTCTCAATGTCAGACTTTTCTCCTAGTAGA